CCAGAATTGAATTTACACCCCCAAGATCTTAATTTTTGGTGTAAAAAAATTTTTTTTTTGCAAGCCTGGTGATGATACCTCTCACATGAGCTGGTTGGAATCATGATTGGAGTGTTAATTTTAGACTGGGGAGGGCTTAAAAAGCACTCTAAATGGCGACGGGAAGTCCTCCATTGAGTGAACTCTTCACTCTCATATATAAGCTTCCCTATTCTTATCAATCTCGCGATTCTCTTTTCCCATGACTCCTGAAACCATCATTGCTGTTTCTCATTAGACCAAACTACTATTCTTCCCTCTAGTCTTGGAATCATCACTGTTACTGTTGTCTATTACTTATAAAGACAAGTAACCATTCCTCTTCCATAAAAAACTCTCGTCGTCTTCAACTCAACCATATTATCCATTCGCTCGACTCTCATCTTCATCGACTCGACTCGACCACAACTCTTACTCGCTCGTCTCTGGTTGATTTTGACTCAATCGTCTCGTTTCCCTTCCATTTGACACTCCGCCGATACTCTGAAATCCTTGAATCTCCTTCACATCACAGTAGGTTATCACTCTGCTTTCCGCTCAGGTCGATGCTATGATATAGACATTAACATCTCTTCCTTTCTAGTCTTTCTTCCTTATTCTTCTTCTTCTCCTCTTTGTTGCGTCCCTTGTGTTGTTGTTCCTGCCTTAAGGTACTTTTTCTTTTTTCTTAGCCTTAGCATCTTTCTTTATGTATTTCCTTGTCTTTCTTACTGACCCTGAAATACATCCTTAAGTTTGACACTTAACAATAGTCACCAACAACTTCAGGAGAAGAAATCTGTACAATCATGCAGTTGAAGGGATTGCTGCACAGGGCTAGTCACATTTACAAAGCATGAATTGGAAAGACACACTGAGATGATGAAATTTTGAAATACAACATTTAACTACAGCATGGATGAAGGGGAGAGTTCCAGTCCTTTGACAAATATAAGAAAGGAAAAGCTGATACATATGGTACAACAGTAGATATCCATGTTTACAAAATGTGAAGCACAGATTTAAGTACTGTGAGCGAGGTGTAATTTTATCTTGGACGTGCACAAGGTACTCAAACCGTCTAAAAACATTGGTCATCTGCTTCTATTCGACTATTTGATCAACCTGTGGAGTAAAATGCACTTTGAATGGGGGTCTGATCTGAAAAATGAAGAATTATTAAACAAGAGGGACCACTGACTTGATCCAAATCCTTTAAGCATTCGCCGATAACCTTCACAACCTCTTTGACTTCCTCTGGTCCGATTATCAAGGGTGGTGCCAACCTGATGATATTTGAATGTGTTGGCTTGGCCAGAACACCTCGTGATTTCATTAACAAACAAAGCTCCCAGCTCCCCTTTTCTTAGGAGATAAACTCGGATCAATGACAATTGCGTTTAATAAACCTTTCCCTCGGACGATTTGAATATATCCCGTTGGACTATTTTCTGATGGTCGAATTGATTTCAATTCCTGTTGGCAAATGAAGCAAGATCTAGATAAGAAAAATGAAATTTCCCTTGTGAAAGTTTCAGATGGATGGATAGCACTGACCTGTAAGCCACTTCTCATCAGTTTTCCCATTTCTTCTGCTCTCTCGGACAGATTTTCTTCGATCAAGACATTCAATGCCGCAACTGCCACTGCACACCCTAAGGGATTCCCACCGAACGTAGAGCCATGTTCTCCGGGCTTAATGACTTCCATAATATGCTCATCCGCTAACACCGCTGAGACTGGATAAAATCCACCGGATAAAGCTTTGCCTAAAGTTGTAATATCTGCTCGAACATTTGAATGCTGCTGGCACAGCCTGGAAGTAAAAACACGCAATCCAATTCCAGCTTCAATCCAAAGCTTCCACTTGTTCTCTAGCGTCGCGACTTCTATTCTTAGAGATTCAGATAAAAACTCACAGTTTTCCCGTTCGACCAAGTCCAGTCTGTACTTCATCTAATATCAATAAAACATTGTGTAGTGCACATAACGCTTTGACTTTCGGGATATAGTCATCGTCTGGGACGACCACCCTGGAATAGACAAACGGATAGGCGGAGTTCCAATCAGTAAGTTTATCCCGTCGGAATGACCGGCTCCGCGCTCTTCTTTACTGCTTACCCAGCTTCACCTTGGATAGGCTCGAGTAACACCGCGGCTGTATTCTTTCCGTGCGCTTCTAGGGCTCGCTCAATATCATTGAAGTTACTATTTCATAATCCAAACATGTTAGCCATGGATTAAGGTCCTCTTGTGATTATTATGGAAGCTCACTCACTTGTATCTCAATAATCTTTGTTCATCATTTTCCGGGGCACTAACTGGGCAGCTTGAGCCAATACCTCGTAAGAATGGCCCGAATGAATTTCGAGAATCTGGATCAGTGCTAGATGCATCGGCAAAGTTTGAACACATTGTGAGCTCTAAGATCCATATTACCTTTGTTAAAATATATTTCTGATCAGGCTAGCAAGACATCACTTTTTCTCATTAATGCTCACTGACCTCATTCCAATCACACCCAAGGTTCGCCCATGAAAATTGCCCTCAACACTTATGATTATTGCTTGGCCGTCCGGTACCCCCTCTGCAGAAATGAGTGAAATAATATAGCCGTAACAAAAAAAGCGGAGTTAGGCGTTGATAATGTCTTGAACAGGCCATACCAACTAGAAAAATTACCAACTTTTGGTGTAAGCCCACTTTCGGGCTAGCTTGAGTGCAGTCTCGACGGCTTCGACCCCTGTGTTCATAGGTAAAGCTCTCTGATAACCAAATGTGGAGCAAAGTTTGGCGAGATATGGTCCTAGCGCAGAATTGTGAAAGGCTCTTGAGGAGAGTGTTAGCCGACTCGATTGATCGATCAACGCTTTCAAGATCTTTGGATGACAGTGGCCTTGGTTGACGGCTGAATAAGCTGAGAGACAATCGATGTATTGTTTCCCTTCTGGATCCCATACTTTACATCCTTCAGCTCGATCGAAGACAACCGGAAGGGGATGATAGCTATTCAAATTTCAACATTCTTATAAGCACCGGTCACCTCGGGAAAGGAATACATATCAGGAACAAGCTCAAATAAACTAGGGCTTAACTTGTGGGCCCCATACTGATGCTCCAAATCGATGAGAACTTGGCTCGTGAAGGGTTTGCCATCTGAAAGGTTATTTTGATTAGTGACGAGGCTGACGCCGGGCGACATATTGATCGTTTCTTCGGATGCGATGGACTTGTGGAGTTTTCTGCTGAAGTGGCAGTGATGATTGATTAGTTTTCCTCTTGGGTAAAGAGCTGCACAAAAGCTGCTGTTGCGCCAGACGTTTGGACGCTCGGGACACCTCACTCTTTGATTTTTGACCTCACGAGTACTTCGTGCTGATGCCTTCACAAGAGAATACGGCCTAGACCAAAAACTCAATTCGAGCAGGTGATTTGGATCTGTGAGAAAATGATTGACAACCCAAGGTAGGTCAAATGGTCAGCTGCAGGTGTTGAAAGCTATTTCGGTTCCACATACCAGCTCCTACGTAGTTTTCCTCAAGTATTGCTTCGTTGCACCGCAGTTGTGTTTTTTAGATCAGAGCATGGTCACGAGCGTTGGGAACACAGCACCTGTTTATAGACCCGTCCCCCGACCCTAAGGTATGACGTAATACCAGCACAGGATTCCGCCAAATGACCCCTTGTCCCATGGTCCCCTCGCTTCATGGGGGGTGGCGTCGGGCGACGTCACAAAATCAATCGCATTGCACATGATCACCCAATGTAGTACACCTTGATGAAGTCCAGAGGTTCAAATTCTTCCGAGTAGACTTCTATTTTTTTTCCTAAAAATAACCCTTCTCATCTTTGATGTTCATGATTGGAATGGATTGTTTCTGTTTCTATCTCCTCTATGCAAGAGATGTCTTCTTGAGAATAACAGCTCTACATGGATGGATGAAGTCACTTTTTTGTGTGATGAACATTCATAGAAAAGATTGTCAACAGAAGTGATTTTAATCATCAACGTGAATGGTTGTTGTTATTTATGTCTTTGAAAATTGTACACTTGTAAAGATTCTTCATATATTGTTACCATTAATCAAGCTTGTGGAATGTTTCAATGAAACCAGGACTCAAATGGTAAAAAGTGGCTGCAAATTTTCCAACAGCGCCAAGTGTGAAAGAAATTTGTTAATCAACAAAAAAACCAGCTTTCATACTTTAAAGTGATAAGTACGTACTTTACATCAAAATATAGTGAATGGATGATCCTGAATGAACTTCAGTTTGTTGTGAATTATACTCTCTATCATCCTTTGGCTTCATTCAGATTTCTTGATTCCATGAGGCATCCAAATCAAGGAATGTTAGTGCTGCAAAGGAAAATCAGTGTGAAAGTCACAATTGAGGGTTTACTGCTACATAAACATCACATGTTTTGTAAACTTCCAAAGAATATTCATAATGTTTTCCAACCTCCTCTTGAAAGCCACATTAAAGGCCTAAAAGCTTTTGCTCTTCTACCCTCAGGTTTCCAATTGGAAATTATAGGAAGAGTCTCACTATCATTTTTTTTTCAAACAGCAAGAGGGCCATTGGTGATTTATAAACTAGAATGTTTGGTCAAGATTTGAGCCGGATAAGGTAGTGAGAAGGCAAACAGGATTTGAAAGTTCTCATTATTTTGTGGAGGATTGGCAAAGATGAAAGCTTCCATTAGGCTATCTCAGGAGCTGCGTCTGCTGATGGTAACATTTATTAAAACCCTCCTTGGCTGATGACCAGGATGTCAGAATAGCCCCCTAGGGGATGAGACCGCAGCCAAGCGTTGCAAGAAGTCTACACAAGACAAGACAAAACAAAGTAAGCCATGAAACTCATGACTCAGAATATCCAAGATATGAAACTCACCTCAGCCCATTCTGTTTCAGATCCAAGCAGCGAAACAAGCCACCTCAATCCTTGGGAACAAAGCCACAGCAAGCCCGACAACAAGGACAAGAGGGAGAACGAGAGCGACGAGGGAGGACACACGGGAGATCCGTGAGTACTTAAGCAACCCTCTTTCTCAGCTTAGAGTGAACACCAGAACTAATCACTCGCTCCGTTCAACAGTCTCATTGCACATAGAATTAGTCAACCCAGTGGACCATTGCTACTCGCTAGAATCAATCAAGACCAAAACGAGTAAGTCCACTCAGCCTGTGCAAACAAGACAAGGTGCATGATCTGACACAAATCTGATTTGCGCAGATCACAACCAACAACCATCGCACCTCATAGAAAATAGGACAGCCATCTAACATCCTAAAGTAAATAGGCTCATCTCTAGACTCGCAATGAGACAGATATCGTGATGCTGACCAAATGGGATAGAAACGATCCTACTACTTTTCTTAGAACCTCTCCCCCTTTCAATATCTCTCTATCGCTTTCATTTCTTCCTCAGTCACATCTGTCTCGGCCACACCGAGCAGTAACAAACCCATAGCCAAGAAGCACGAACGATCCGTTCTGCTCTTAGGTAAATTTCTCTTACTGCATTTCTCTCATAATAAATCATTACTCAGACAAAATAATCTTGTGCATAGAAATAAAGCTTTATCAGTTCAAATGTCTAACCGAAATATAATCTCTTAGTTGTTTAAAATCTTACACAGGATAGCATTCAAGCTTTCAGGCAAGCTCGCCTTTAGAATCAAAATCTCACAATCAAATCTTACTATAAATTGTGCACAAGCAGTGAACTTTTTCCAACCATCAGCATTGATCTTAGGCCTAGTGCATGAACTGCCCTATCTGAGACATCTTTCCTTCTCTTCTTCAGTCATTTTACTGATCATGTATCACATCAATAGTGAATTAATTCGGATAAGGATTTTCTCTACAAAAGATTAAGATGTTTGAACTGAAATCACTGCGCTACTGACAAAAATTCCAAAGCCAAAATGACGGTCATCTGCTGATGAATGAAAGCACCCCCCACTACCAGAAATTGATCCTTCAGATAATTGACAAGGAAAATGATTGTCTTGGAAAAACAAAATGGTGCATGCTCATTATCTTGATACAAGGCTGCTGGTCAAAAGGCACGTCATTACAGAATATGAATCTTTAACTATTACTCTGAGCTTTATAGAGGTGCTATAAGATCGACATCTTCACGTAACCGCCGATTCACACCATTTTCATTTTTTTTAGATGTGAGTATGCTGGACTTGTTCTCGTATTGTCAACTTTTTATGAATAAGATTTGAATTTCAAGGGTCGTTGTGCCGAAGTGATTTGATGATATTGATGTCACTTTTTATTTGACCAAGAGGTAAAAGATCTCTACCGGATGTGAATTGAAGAGTATGCCTCATGACCGGCTCGCTTGCATTCTCGTTCTGCATGTCGATACCGTGTCCAGGCGGAAAGTGGTTGACGACTTGTTGATCACTGATCTTTTCATTCTCCGAGAAGCTGAAACACGATAATTTCCGCACTCTTGGGGAAGAACTAGAGCGGGGTGAAGAGCTCCATTGGGGGCAAAGCTTTCTCCAAATTCTACTCCCCAGTGATTTGATTTCACCCGTGAAAGTGGCCTTTGCGAGAGACGATTGTGGCGTCTCGGCAAGAAAGCCACCATAAGGACGTAAGTTTACCACGTCGCTTTCGGTAGATGTTCGTGACAACTCTGTTTGAAGCCTGTTACCTTTGGCAGACGACTTTCGTATTGTAGCTGCCGAACGCGCGTTGTTCGCATCCTCGGAGGCTGAATGGGGCACTAAGGCTACACAGCAAGTCATCTGGGGGAAAGATAGATGTGTTTCCGATCAGATGAGAGTGATCGATGGTATAGCAGTCTGCTCTCGCTTTTTAATAATCTGAACTCACAAATGCCAAGACGCTACCTGGTACTGACCAAGCCCAACCGGTCCACTCGAAAGTAATCGTGGCAACTCGGGTGGGTGAGGTACGGTTGGGTACGCCAAATGCATCGAAAGCTACAATCATGATCGGGGAGGTACGAAGGTTAGTAGAATGTACCGACAGCGCGTAATACTAGTGCTTACCAAGACAAGCAGTCAACACAACAAATGACAGGAAAATCACACTGGAGCAGGAAGACTGCCACAGGAGGGCTGTGCGATAACGAGAAGACATTTTGGCCTTTCTTTCCAATTCTGCATTTTCACCGCAAGAATCTGGGCAGTCCCAAAATTCCAAGAGTTCTGACTGATCTTGAGACTGGGTCCAAATGGTAGCCTTTAACTTCTTGATCGATTTGACGATGGCACCATACATTGTGCGCGATTGGATTGATTCAGAGGCGTCATCGGAAGTTATGTCATCTTCGACTGATCTCACCCCGACACTTGCCATTCTTGCAAATCGCCGACGAGCTTGAGTGAGGATTTGCACTTGGACCGTTAAGGTTGAATAAAGCCTAGCCGACGCGTAAATAAAAAGGGTAAAAAGGCTGAGACAATAACATAAGTATATCCCACAAGCGAACCTCCACCGACGATTCACTTGGTACATCATTGGCCGCAGAGTGTCTAAGGTGCTTTTGAACTCGTTCGCCAGAAAAGGGGGTAAAGCATCATCCAGAAGTAGGTCTTCTTCTTGAGCATTGAAGAGTTTCACATTCGAGTTTAGAATGAAGAAGTCTCTGCCTAATGTGTCCGCGTCCTTGGTCATTGAGAGAGTGATGGGTAAAGTGGCTACTGGAAAACTGATGTACAGCAGCACTACCAACATGTTGAACAAAGATGGCGGCAACCCGTTGCTTAAAAAACTCGTACCACGTGGTGTCAGTTGAACCGGTACTATTGGGATAACAGATAGAGTCCTCCAGACTGTAGATACATATAAAGAGAAAATTGGTTGTGTCAATAATATTAGATTTGAACGATTTCTGGTGCAGTTTTCAGGCTTCAATGGACAAAAGAGCCTCGCCAAACCCGACCCCCAGATTGAAGAAAGTCACCATAAAAAAGGGGGGGAACAGTTGCGATAGCGGAAAAAAAAGGCTTACCCCTGGTGGCAGCACAATAGAACAAAAAGTTGTAAGATATCATCTGCGTTATCATCGTAGGCCGACTGAGGTATCGGCCGTTATCTCGATTCATCAGTATGATGGAACACAAAACCACTTGAACATTATTAGGCGGAGAAGAAATTTTCAGCGCTCATGAAAGGTTCCCAAAAAAAAGAAAAATTCGCTCGATAATTGGGTAGCTCAAGAAGCAGAGGGAAAAAACCAACAAGAGCTGTTTATAAGTGCAAACAGAGGGACTAAAACCTCAAGATTCGGATTCAGGTAACCGTTTCTATTCCTTTCGATCAGCCAATAATTTCGCATGGTGACGTTTTTGATGAGACTGATGAGATAGAAAACACCCATGAGGACCATCAAGGTGGAAATGATCCAAAATCTGATCCGAGTAGTTGAACTGAGTTCCAGGCCTGCGTTGGAGCTTATAAAACTCTCGATCTTGTAAAATTCCTCAACGCTCATTGAGTCGGTTGTTGAATTGCTGATGGTTTGATTTAGTGCGACGCGGATTGAGGTTGGCTTGGAAACCATCTTTTCGTCGATCCAGTAGTGGGTTGTTCTCGTCTATAACCAGCTTCAACTTCGTCAAGATTTCGGATTCCAAAGCCCTTTGCTACTGGTGTTCTTGGCTCACAAAGGATTGACAAATAAGATAAATGAATAAAAATAATTAGGAAGCTTCTCGATAATTCAACTTGGAGGCAGGAGGTACGGAAAAAAATCAGAATTGTAGAGCGAATGACGAGGTGTGACAAATCCTCACACTCTAAGGGAGCAGTAGAGTTGATGGATTTTTTTGGGTTTCAATTTGGATAAAGCGTTTGTGCGCACTTGTATCGGTATGAATCTATCTTTTGGCACATACTTTCTTGTCAATGAAGAACTGACCTGAACTGACTCGAGCAATTTGAAAATTCACAAGTTAAAAAAAGTAGAAAGTATGTAGGCTATGTAGAGGAAGGAAAATTGGATGCGATGTTCATCAGCCCTAAAGAGACGGTGACTTGCCGGGGCTTTGGTTGATAAAGAAGGATCCGAAAGAGGATAACCGCCGCATATAGCTCTGCATTGATGCTGATCGCTGACAATTCTTCCAATCAAGAGGGGCTTCATTTCATTTCATTTTATCGCCCTCAAATGTTTGGGACCTTTCAATTTAAAGTTGTTAATACACGGAGACAAATATTGTTTTCACTTGGTCCATTTATACATCGCCTTGCGCAAAAGAGATACCGCAAGAAGGGAAGGCATAGTCGCCGATGAAAAGAGAACCAGCTATAAGGATCCAATCGGCTTCAGTACTCCTTCACTGATCGGTCGGAGGGAAGATTCACAATGACATGTTGACCCATCAAAAAAAAGCTTAATGTTCCACGAAGTGGTTCGACGGCATAGAATTCAACGATCCTGTTGTAAAGACGGTACATAGATGCAGCCTCAACACTAAAACGATTGAAGGTTAGGATTCGAGGTTATAATGAAGCATGCTCAGTCGGCTTCCGCGCTCTTAAGGGGTTTCACCAATGGGCACATGTCAGTTAATTTTGGCTCCATGCAGTACTCGACTGAGCGCACAGTATGTGCTTCCATGATATAATGTTCAGCCTGATGCTTGTTGTCGATGTCGCCTTATTGTTGCTCTATTAGAAATTGACCTTGGATATGGACGAACGCTTTCAAAGTTTCAATGTCTTGCTTACGAGAAATAATCCATGAGGGATAATTCCTGTTATTTTGCAATCATTAGGGGAGATGGCTATGGTCAATTTGTTTGAGTTTGTAGCCATCTGTTTTGCTTAAAGCTAAGCTTGCAATTTGTTAAGATATGCATTCAGGCTACAATTCAAACATCATGCACAAATACGAGAATAAAGATGTTCCAAAAAATGATAAATGATTCTTGTTGATATCCAAAACTCTCATGCAAGAACTCCTGATAAGTCATGAGTCCCTCTGGGAAAGCCTGAGGCAACAGTAGGGACTTGGTCACTATCATCTATCCAATTTTTTAATACTTCCTTGGTCACATTTTGTATTTTTCAAGATGAGGATTCAGATATTAAGGTAGGAGTTATGTGAGATGCAGCCTCAAGTGGTAGAACATGACACCCAACTCTCCCCCAACCATAGAAAAGTAGAAGAGTCAAATCTACCATCTGAATTGGTGACGATTTCCATGAAGATGAGATCAATGTCGCATCTTCTGCAGTGCAATTCAAGTGGAATTAGATGTCATTGAGTTTAGTAGGACATAGCTGAGTGAACTCTCAACAACAATTGCATTTCTTCATTTTCAATTCCCCTCAGGCTCAATTGATGACACCTTATTATGTTTTTATTTTTTTGTATTTTGTTCAATTTTTCTTATGAACAGCAAACACAGCCAAGACTCACTTTTCATGAATGAAAAAACAAAGGATAATACTACTTATTTTTGCGACTGCTACGACCGCAGATGATCAGAGGTAGATACTGGTGCCAACCAAAGCATTGGTACTCGAGTAGTGTTGCAAAACAAGACTAGAACGGTCCTATTTTTCTACTTTTGGCCAGGTCTGACGGCGATCTTGAGGCATTGGCGACTGGCCATCTTGTCCAAGGCCTGTTGATACTCTTCGATTTTAAAGATATCCTGTTTCACATCATCAAATTTAAATCAGCAAAAAATTCAGTCTGATTATGACAGCAAGGCAGCTCACAGTCACCATCCCCTCGGTACGAATCCTCCCCGAATCACTAGTGATATTTCACGAGGCAAGTTCGCTTTGGGTGAGCAACAGTCTTATTGAGTAAAAAGAAGAGAGCAAAACTTTGAAGACTAACAGGTATGCAACAGCTCGCGGGAAGCAGTTTCTGCAAGAAAGGAAAATGCATGGGTCAGCCTCAAGGTTGTTGATGCACCAAAAGATTGGCCTACGTTTGAGAAAATGATCCAATGATGTTGATTTCATCGGAGAAAATCTTGGTTGGTGACCAAGAGACTCGCGCAGCATTATCGTAAACGCCGTAGACAAGCCTAGAAATGCATGCGCCAAAAGTCAGTAGCCATTCTAAGGAGGAAGCCATGTTGGAATGATTGATAAGGAGATTTAAAAGGCTGACAGAGTGCCACCACGGCGGACGTAGTTGATACTATCATTGACGATCGACTCCACGCCGGTAGCCTCGACCACCACATCAAATCCATGCGGGTTATCTTTCTTCAATTGCGCCCATTGATTCGCAGCATCGGCCCGATCCAAATCGATGTATTCACTGCGACATAAAGACTAGGTGTTAATTGAAGCAAAATATTTGCTTGAAATCAGGGTAATTAAGCTATAACGCAAGCTTACTCTGCCGCCTGGATCTTGCGCGCAATATCCTGCAAGAGTGCAAGCAAGTATCAGAGTGAGAAATTCCCGATGATGATCGATCTGAGAAAGATTGGGACTTGCCATCTTCATGCCTTTGTTAGCAGCTAAAACGACACGCTGTGCCCCGTTCAATTTGAGGAGTTGGGCGAGGATGAGCCCGGTTGGTCCGGCGCCGATCAAGAGGCACTCGCTTCCGGGCTTGGGACGGATCTTGTCGAGCCCATGAACGGCACACGAGGCAGGCTCGACCAAGGTGGCTTGCTCGTCGGTCAGGTTCTTGATCGGGAATACCTTGGCCGCGTGGAACTTTGCATATTCGGCAAAACCGCCGTTGAGAGTCACCCCATGGGCTTCGAAACCTGTCCAAAGATGATCATCAGCCCCAAAATTCCAACTTCGTGAGGACTTGGATGGGGGAAAATTTGAATAGTCTGCTTACTCTCACAAAACCTGATAGTCCCAAACGGTGAAAGTGGAAAGAAATGTACAGTTGGTCAATCAAGGAGCATCTTGACATTTGAGAGAAGAGGAAAGAAGTTTTGAAGGGAAGGAGCACAAACAGGGAAGTACCACGTTGGCAGTAGAAGCACTTGCCGCAGGTTTCGCCGACATCGCAAACCACACGATCGCCGATCGAGACACTATGAACTTTTGAACCGGCTTGTACGATCGTCCCGATGACCCTGATGAAGAAAAAAGGAAAGAGAGCCGAGAGTAAGGAGATCGGCTGACGATCGCACATGTGCCCGTTTGACTCAACTCATGTCCCGGGATTAATGGAAACTTGGAAATGAATTCTCCCTCGTGAATGTGCCTGCAAGTTTGGGGTAGGGAATGAGGTTTTGGGAAATGAGTTGATTTGGTTGGAATGACGTCATCCAGTATGAAATGGGACAGATGATGGTGATCGAAGAAAGAAGAAAGCCTACTGGTCGGTTCCACATACTCCGCACATTGACACTGAAATAAGGCCATCCATCAAATCAACATCAGTTTCGATTCAGGCCATGGCGAAGGAAGGCGGAAGGAAAGGTTACAGGAGGGTCAAGTGAGCGAATTGAAGCGAGCTCATCCCGGCCAGCATGGATGGCTGGACAGATGAGATTGGGGAACAGATTTGACGACCCAAAATTTGATAGACTGGAGAGGATAGTAGGCTGGCACCCATCGGTCACCAATCATGATTACAGAGCAAATTCTATGCAGCACATTTTTAAGTCATACATCTATATGGCTAAGCATGAGGGGAAAGGATTGAAGATGGTCTGGGAAGCGTGAAGACCAAGGAAGATACCTTTGAGCAAAACCTCATTTTCATCGATCGATGGGAGGTCAGCCTGGATGACTGAAAAGTGACGAGCCTTCTCGTAGTAGAGCGCGGTCATCTTCGAGGGCATCACTGCGGCGGCGGCCATCTTGGGTGGATGATTGATTGGTGTGAGTGAGAAGATTGGGTGGAAGGGGGTCGATTGCTTGTTTTTTTTTTTTTGTTTAGAATGAGAAGTGCTTGGAGTTAGTATTTAATTTGGTTGTGGATTTGTGTTTTTATTTTTAATTTTTTGGAGTTGGAGTTGGAGGGAGAAGCACGGCTTGGTGGATGGGATTATGAATATCAGCAGATAGACGAGAGCCTCTTTAATGGAATCTTATCAGCCAACCTTGTAGTTTGAGTATATATATCTGATTCTGGAGTCTCCAATCTGTAGCTTATAATTAGGGAGTTCCGGATCGATTGATGGCAATTGGCAGAGAGAGAGAGAGAGAGGGAGAGAGAGCAGAGCTGGATGACGGAAATGGTCGGGGGATCACGAGGCTGGAGCCTGGCAGCCTCTTTAATCTTACTAGCAGCTCAGCGGAGATGCTGTACAGGAAATTAATACTTGGTATGCTAGCAGGTTAATTTTACCGGAACTCTGGGCCTCACGATCAGAGCAGGGGGGACCAGAATCCGCCACTCCAGTGCTGAAATCCTGATGATATCCACCCGGCTGGTAAGCTATGTATTCTCAACCGCCTGTGAGTCTAATTCAACCCCAAGAAGAGGAATATAAGGCTCTGGTTTTGATATAATTGCTTGCACGAAAAAAAAAAAAAAAGCAGGCACACAGTTGAGCGTTCAAGGGGAACATTGATGATGGGCATATATCCCCCAATATTGGCCCCGACTGACTCCAGTCATCATCGATTCAAGCTTCACCAAGGTTCACCCTCCAGTGCCTTTTTAGACTTACAAGGATATCAACCTGCTGCACACTCTCCTCATCTGAGTTATCCAGCCCCTCCATCGACTGCAGCCTGTCCCGGCCTCTGCCATCCTGTTTTTTTAGCAGCACGCTTGCGGTTTGAGTAGTCCATCGAGCATCCTCCGCTCGCACGCGGTGATACTCGGCGATAAAATTCATAAACAGGCCTTCGTCCGGCATCTTGTATGATCGATTGAGCGTGCCCAACAAGTCCAACAATAGGTTAGACTCCAAAACAACGGCTACATCTCCTCCGGCAGAAGTTTGAAGCTCATCGGCCAGCTGTATCCTTACAACAGTACCCACTCTCGCTCTGCTTGACTCATGACGACATTCCCCCTTCCACACCACCGGTCAATCACCTGAGCACTGCTCATCATGTCCTCCATAAGAGTCATATGTATCCCTATATAGGGCAAACCGTCACGTGAATAAAAAAAAACAGAGCTTATATTCCCCCTTTCTTTCAAGCCTCACTAGAAGGCCACAGGCGAATAAAAAAAATTGGGCATATATCACAAACCCGACTTGCATCCTTGGCTGTCTGAGGGAAGCAAGTCCTTTCTTTAACGCTTTAGGATACTGGATAATAGACAAGAAGACATGCTGCGAGACTGGCAATACACAGTCAAATTATTATTCTCGAATATATTTTATATCAACGCTAAAAAATGTGGTCAAGCACTTGTCCAAAAATAGAGACTAAAGCCACAACCAATCCTTTTCTACGAGAGACTCGCCCTGCAGCATCCGGGGTACATACCGATTTGACCGCAACTCAACAAGTCTCTCCTTGCCTGAGGCCTTTTCGGCCAGACGCTCTGTCTGAAATGAGGCGCAGGGGACTTCTAGTTAGAGACCACATGACCATTCATCTCTATTTTGCTCCTGATTCCTCTCACTTGGTAGATTGTCCATTGCTGGCTATATCTATTACAGAGACAACCACTCTGTTTGATTGATTTCTTTTTTCTGGTTTAAGAATGAATAGGATCCAATTCACCTAACTAACTGATTTTGAAGAGCAAGTGCTCTCTAGCTTACATGGCCATCAAGCTGAATGTACCCTTTGGCAGTATCTATCAATTAATCTGCCCACGATCTTCCAAATGTTTATTTTGCCATGAGGACAAAGCAACTTTGCATTTTAATGTAAAATGACAACCAACAGTGCTTTTATTACAAGATCTTCTTCTCTTGGATTGGTGATTTAGCCTTCCAAAAGCCTCCGGTGATGGTCTTCATCACAGCAATTTGGAAGGCGGTGAAAAAATAAGTAAAGAAGGGGAGACCTCATTGCAGATGTGATGCTTGATTTTCCATGTTGTTTAGATTCAATGATGGTTTTAAAGCCACCCTACAGAGTTGAAACTATGAGGCAAGGGAAGCGACTGTGGATGATGATTTCCTCTAGCTTTCTCAGGCTCTCTGTTGACTGCACAAAGTGCAGGAGAGGCTTGTGCCTAAAACAAATAACCTCTTTGGGCTGTTGTGTGCACCAAAAAATATAGAAAATCATCACTTGGAATTCACCCAAGAAAAACTTGGGCTGGGTGTCCCTAAGACATATTTCACCAAGAAAAAAAAAACATAAACTACATATTTGAGGATTTTAAGATGTGGTGTTGAACCTCAACTCATGTATGTGTGTTTTTTGACTGCCAGTTTAATCCCCTGACAAAGTCCAACTTCAATTTGTGTATTTATTTTTGATTTTTCTAGTGTTTTTAAAGAATTCTCACTCATCCACTTTTCAGATATGTTGTCTGAAAATTGGATGAGGAGAACAGAAACATGCTCAGATTTCACCATGTGAACTGGGCCTCAAAAGACAGTGGATCTCTATTCAGGGTAGTTGATCCAAGATTCCCTACACCAAAACTGCTCAATAGCAACATGTGAGCATGTGCATATTAGGAAAAAGTCCCTTCTTGGGACCTTCCTCGGGAGGCTTTCTTTGCAAGTGGCACCAGCCAGCTGTGAGGCCCGCAGAGTGTGAGACTTGTAATACGTTAGTGGATTCCTATATTTTTAGATTGCAATGAAGGACTCACTTGGATGCGGATTTGGAACAAAAACATATAAAGAGCTTTGGAAGAGATTATGTAAGCATTGTTTGTGAAAAAAAACTCATTTTTGAATTGATGTTTGAGGCCCAACCATGAATACCACATATGTGTTGGAATATGCAATATGCCTTCAGGATCCAATGCCAAGTTTTCTGTTGGCACTTAGGCTTTAGATTGCTTCAGGGGGGCCTATTGGGGACCTCATGGTCATCTCAATGACTTCCCCCCCCCCTCATCATGGTAATTGGTAACCTGTACAACAATTTAGGGGTGAATAGTGCTGTCCTAAGAATAGGCTAGTCAGAGCATAAATTATCACCATTGAAAACAAGAGAAAATTCTGGGAGTCCAAAAGGGAAGCCAATCCAGATGAAACATGAAGATAAAAATTACTACAATCCACCTAGTCATGGGGTGCAAGGGATAATGTGAGAAGATACATCAAGAAAAGAGAAAAGCAAAAAGGGAGACAATTTGAACTTCTAAACTTAATACAACAAATGTGTGCAAACCTAGTTATGTGCTTGATGAAGTTTCCTCCGTTTTCATGCACTGTGAATGACAAAACAAATCTTCTCCTCCTAGGTGGCATCAACACTGGGAATTTATATTTTTTGAAATATCAGTTCAGATTCTCACAACTGTGTGACTATCCATTACTGGATAATGTGTTATTTTCATCCAGTAGAACAATAAAAACCCGTATAGGTAACATACCCATAAGGGTTTTACCCAAAAAAAGTTACAAAACATAACATGATAATGTGTTATGTGTGTTAATCCTGGTCAAAATATACTGAAATTATATAAAACTACTCAAAGAGAGTCAGAAATTCTTCAGCTATCCATAATGTTTGGGTATGGATAAGCAAAATTTTTAAAATTAACATAGCAATAAGGATGGGCGTGTGGTAAGTAACTATTAGGTGGTACCTGGGAAACATGAACAGGTACCCCTTGCACCCACCGCACACCTGAAAGTAGTAGTTGCTGCTGGGTGTGACGTCAGTTGTCTGTTTTTGGGCAAAAAGAAAAACAGATGGTGCCTGGGCACCTGCCCCCTAACCCCTGTTCAAGGATTTCTCAGCCAGGTCTCTAGGGAGGACCCTTCCGTGGTGACATGGCTGTGAGGAATCAGGTAACCATTGAGGACCCTCCACAGCAACTTGATGGTAAGGATCTCCAGTACTTGGGTGCCAAGGCCACAATACCACTAGGAGCCTGTGCAGAGGTGCTGGGTGCATGCTTTTGTTTAAAATTTAACATGGTACACGGGTTCCACAAGGCCATCTTTACATAGCAAAGTACTGTTACCATTAACAAAACAATAACAATGCAAAAAATATGTTATTGTTAATTAAAATCTGGCCAGTGCAATAACCACCAAGTTTTGCCTGTATTGTCACATTATGAACCATGATGAAATTGATTCTCTGTAATAGACTGCTAAATTCTGACAGGTTTTTGTGGTATATAATAGCCCAGTTCACGTAGGGTGTTTTTATCGACAAGTCTGAAAAGTTGCACTGCTTGTCGATTCAACTGCTTGCTTATGTTTTGCGTGGGACTTCACCAAAACTTTAAGCAAGATGTCGTTGAGTGTTGCTTGTTGCAGAAATTATATTTGCAAACAAGCAGCTTTGTGAACTGGCCTAATTTTCAGATATTTTGATTTAGGTATTTCCATCAATTAAACCACTCAAATTCCATGTTGGATCAAAGCCCAAAAAATGAAAATAATATATCTATCACAATTCACTAATGAAACAAAAAACTTATGGTAATACAAAAAAAATTGCTTGGAAATCAAGGTGCCACTGATCAAGATTCAATCCAAATTGGTTGAATGCCAAATATTTGCTAGTATTGATCAAGCCACGTTTTTTTTTTTTTTCATGTGTTTTTGTAACTGTAAGACTTCTGAATCCTGCATCCTTACACTCATTGCAGGGTGGTCACTCCTGAGGGAAAAAGGGATGGCTACCACGACTGTATGTGATGGGATAACAAAAAGAAACTTCTCACTGCAGGTGACTGGAAGAAAATTGGGGTGTACATAATCTGAGATCAGGTAAGGTAAAGGAACAACCCCGTGTTGTTGATAAATCTTTCCAATCTTCCAAATAACCATCTGGTGCCCATTTGAGGAATTATTTTATCAGACAGAAAGAAGCTAGCTTTTTGAGGTGACTGTGATTCTAATCTCCATCCTTTGACATTACAAACACATCAATTTCTCATCTTCATATAAGTTGTCAAGAGTGTGGCCCTGGATTCCACATGCCCCTGTTTGTGTCTTCCCACTGCAGATAGATCAAACACACACCTCAACAAAATCAACAGCTCAAATCTTAAATCATGATAAAGAAGTTGATTGCCATCTTCCCCATTGTACCACTAACTTAACAACAAGTCCCTCAATCGGAGGGCCTGGTGCCAGGCTGGCGCAAAGCGCCCCTCGCAAAGCAAGCCTCCAAAGGAGGGACTTGCGACTGAAGCCCACATTTTGGCTTAGAAGCTGGGGGTTGTTAGTAGGGAAAAAAATTGCCCAGGCAATCACCCCCTCTTCCCCTAGGAAATATTTTCAGCCATTTGGACCAGGTAAAAGGTCTGAATTGTATCTAACTTTTTGTCTCACCCACAAGGCCAGGGGCCCTCTACATCGGCCCCCACCTGGCTTTCAAAAAGGTCATTTTTCCATGAGGTTGATTGTGAGGCTTAATCTATTACTCTATTCCGCTAGTAGCTGTGAAGATTTACCGAGAGGTAATCTCGCTGAAAGCTTAGAGATAATATATAAAGAATCCGAATTCTCTGGCCACCGCTAGGAGAAAGGATGTGAGATATTTATAATAATGTTTTTTATGTTTTATTGTAATAATAAATAATAACAAAATATGATGAATAGAAATATCGAGATGAGGTGGAAAGAAGAAAACAACAAGGTGAAAGAGAGTCAACACTATATAACAAAATTCAACCCACAAAGATCGGAAAGATCTTCGATCACCTAACACGTCATCAGCTGAAGAGAACTGACAATCGCCGATAGGAAAAATACGTCATGAAAGATAAAGATTCAACGGAAATGTACATGACATCATTGTTACA